GTGCTGAAACGTTTCGCCTTCGATTCGGAAGGCTTCATCAGTCAAGGGAACACACAACACAAAATTGATTCTTTCCCCAACAGCTTACTCCAAAGTGGAACAAACCAGTTATGTTTGTGATAAGATGATCTCTATGGTACGCCCCCTTCTCCATTGCCGGCCCTCTTCCTTGTTGACAGTCGTGTCAAACTGGTTGAAAACAACAAAGTCCATGTTCAATAATCCAGGTATAAAATCGTTGGTTACGTACTGTAACCCCAGATTCTATGAGTATAGGCGTAGCCCTTTAAGGCTGTCGCTGATGGGTTTATCCCGATATGCGAAGCATTGCACTGAAAAATTTAGTCCACGCCCACCTGCTGTGTGGGCCCCACCCGGTCCGTATAAATTACGTTAAGAGCGGGAAACTCACTTCACTTCACTCAGCCCAACTCAAACTGCAGTTGGGCCACCTCGTCGGGTTTGTTTGCCCATTTGAACTGTGACGTTTTATGGTCTGAAACTTTTCTGCATCATTCATATTATTGTCACTGTTTTCAGTTCTCAGATTATCTGGAGTCTCTGAATCTTGTTAATACACCTGAATCTGCCCATCACTGTAACGTTCACTGTTTTTGGGTTCTGAATGATGTAGTGAACTAGGCCTGAAGGTCAAAACCTTGACCTTAAGGACCATATGGGACAGAACTTGTCATTTCATTGATTTGCATCCAGAAATACAGGTTGACCCATCCTGAGACTTTCTTTCTTGAATTAATCAAGTAAAAGAAGACTACTTTCTATTATCATTACCATTTTACAAATGTTTGATAATCAAATTGTGTTAGTTCAAACAATGTTTAAATGTTGAAGTGAACTACTCATTTTTATTAACTGTGAAACAGTAATAATGATTCTTAATCCTCATTCAAAGTGAAATCAAGTTGGAATACGTTACAGAGTAATGATTCAATTTCTCGATCGTCTGTTTGAAGTGAGCAAGTGATGGAAGTTGTTCAAAGTTCAAGTTTCGGTCAACTGCAAGTTTACTGAAAAGAAATGTCATGTTTAACTTTTACAGCAAGACACTGGAGAAATGGCTCCACGAAGTCTGAAGTTTCTCATGATATTTTTTGTCTGTCCTTAAACAATCTTAATCTTTTCCTTGACTTTTCATAACACCTTACTTCACAAAACACACCTCTGTTTTGGTCCATCGACCAATCAGAAACTCTCAAATGAACCGGAAGTGAGCTTTCTTTAAATGTTGGCACTTCCTAGTTCAAGCGAGTTTTCCAGTTGTTGCAGGAAGTTCTGCAGCTCTGAAACTCAGCAGTTCCAGAGTTCACGAAGGCTGGAATTCAGGATGCTGATGAGAGCAAAGAAATCAAACTGAATCCAGAGAAGATCTGGGAATTATGAAACTTCTGTTTTGGATGACCTCACGACTCCAGAGGGTTAGCTGTTCTTACGGAGA